CTATCTATATTACATATATACCTATTTGCATATCTATCTATCTATCTATCTTATCATCTATCTATCTATCTATCTACCTATCTATCATCTATCTATCTATCTATCTATCTATCTATCTATCTATCTATGTATTGTCTATCGTCTACCTACCTTTCTCTCTTTCTCTCTTCCTTTGGAAAGGTGCCCTTTTCTTTTCCATGTCTACCAACTTTTTATCTCCTTGAACTACACAGTAGACACTGCAAACTCAACACATAAAGATTTCATTTAGTTTCCTCTAGCAGTCGATTTCTTGCAGAAAAGGTCTTGAGAGTTGGACATCCTAAAATGTGATCAGCTCTAGAAGGGGAGTAAACAACTGAGCAAGTTTTAGCCTTTTCCAGAAAGTGAATCCTGGCAATGTCTAATTCATTGCAGGATTTCATGTCTAAGTCAGAGAAGCACTTTGGACAGAAATAGAGCATGGCTTTGATAAATTACTTAAAGTCAAAGCCCATTAGACATTTGACTCTAAATAACCTCAAACCCCAAAGCCTAATTATCTCAACAGCTCTGTTATCCTGAAATGGTAATCCGACTGAAGAGTGCCCTGGTAAGTAAAATCTCCAAGACAGACACTGACCCACAAAGCCTTCAGAGTGCCGAAGTCTGGAGTGTCCCTAGGGCCTGGAACCACAAAGCTGGTGGAGGACAACGTCTCTGCTCCACATCTTCACATTCCCAGGAACGCTATCCTCACTTGTAGCAGACAGCCAACCTCACTTTTCTCCCTTCCAATTGTTGACTGTGTTAATGACACTCACCTGAATGAAGATATATTCATCCTGAACAACCAAGGAGCTGATATCAATAGAGCGGGCGAAGGGGCCACTCCGAGTTGTCTCAGCACATTCTTGGATTCTGCAGGTGAGGTAGTGAGCATCTGAAAGAAAGGGGCACAGTGGCATTTAGCAGCAAGGTAAATGACCAGCCAAGACCATTGCAGCTCACAAAGCTCGAAATTCTGGGGACTCACAGACTAATATTTTTTAAATAATAATGATATTTTACTTCCTTGTACACAAAAATCGAAGACATTGCCCCAGAAATGAGGGTAATACCTAGCTTAGTAGAGAAAAAGTTAATCTTATTTACTACTGGTAAAAGAATAAATCCATTTAGCTTTTAGAAGAAAACATTTGAAGAAGATTTCAGAAATTTACATGCACATATTTTATTTGCCAGTAAATGTAATTCAAGGAATATTTCTATAGAAAGATTCACATATTTTCACAAAGAAGAAAGGTGGGAATGTTCATTGTGGCATTATTCACAGCAATGTAAAACTGTAAATGGGCTAAATGTCCATGAATTAAGGAACATTTGAAACAGCTAAGATACATGCACATGACAGAGTATCATGCTGTTATTACAAGATTTGGCAGGCAGATGTGCATCAACAGACTCTCCACAATGCACTGCTTTACCAGGTTTTAAGACTATATTTCCAATTGTGTACAAATATGACTCATTGATGACTTAAAAGTTTGTCTTTATATACACAGGTCTGGGCTACAATTACACAGAATAAAGTTTTAAAGGTCGTATATAAAGATTAGTTATGAGTCCTTTAGGAATGGGATGGACTTAAGTTGATATATATTTTAGTACTGCCTATGATTTTTGCATAATATACATCTTTATTATGTTTGCAGCAAGAATACATTCACTTACTACTTACATAAAACTTGTATAATTATTTGTAAGAAAAAACCTACATTTATAGTCATGGTTATAGCTAAACCATAACAACCAAACCTCTGATGTTAAGTGCAGAACCACAGAACCATCCTGGAAAACAATGTATTCAATTTTGTGTTCCTTCAGGAAAAACTACAAGTGAGTCTTTGTGAAGAAATTACCCTGTAGATTGCCCTAAACATGGTTATTATTTGTTTTATGAAATTAAGAAATAAATGGTCAAAATAAAAAGTAGATTGCTTTAAAGCTATAAGTTGAGAAGCTTATATTTTCCATCATACTTAACTTTCCTTGTTAAAATTACAAATTGTTTTTGTTTGTTGGTTTGTTAGTTTGTTGTTTTAAAATATCAACAAATCATAAGCATGCCCTGGCCCGGCAGTTCAGTCTTATAATCTCAGATATTCAGGCAGGGAAGGCAGAAGATCACAAGTTCAAGGCTACCCTAGGCCTTCATGAGACCCTTTCTCAAAATAATTGGCTCTAGTTCATTATAAGCAAGCTGGTTTGAGACTTTCTGGATTTCTAAATACTGCTAACTTATTTTTAATACAAAATATTCTGATTTTTAAGTTTTTTACAGGCCATTTAAACTTTAAATATAGTACAGGACAACACCGTGTCACTAAGCAAACAAGACCACAGTCCAAAGGAGACTGATGAATGACTTACACCCAACCTGTGCTCTTCCATTTACTCAGGTGCCCCTCACGAGGGAGAAATGTTTTTAACCCCAGACCCTGACCATGCAGGTAGATCAGTCTTTCCAGCGTTTTTGAGTATGCACTGAATGTATCCTTTCTTTTGGTTTTGTTCATAAATGAAGCTGAGAGTGGTCTGGCTTTCCACTTCTTGCTGAGAGGAGAGGGGAAAGTAGGGACCCCAGGCTGTGCAGTGGAGCACAGTGTCTGCCCACAGGGGGTATGTTTGGATACATGCTAGCTTACTAATTTGACCCTTGACTAAAGCACCAAAATGTAGCAAAAGGCTGCAGTAAACACATGTAAAGAAATCACAAACACCACCATGAAAACCTGTGTCCTTGTCTGTCAGTGTCTCAAAAGCTCTTCACACTGCTAATCAAAGGTACACGTGGGAGGGACACTTGCTTACACTCATTGAAAGGCTCATTCTTCCCTGGCTATTTACTATGCCTTTTGCCTTTGAACACTCCGAAAGAAGAATCAAGTCTTTTCAAGGCCACCCCAAACAAAATCAACACCTACTCAAACCTTGGCCGGTGACAAGTGGGAACCGGTGCCAAGCTCATCCTACAGCTTGGCTCTGGCTTTGCTCACCAGTGTGCAGCAAGGGATGACAGGTTTTATTTAACAAGACACCAGCACTTACATGAGTTGCTGAAATCCACTTCACATTAAGAGACCTTGCAGTCTTTAGGCAGACTCATATTCGGAAGTCTCAATGCTTAGATTTTTTCCAAAATTCAGAGCTACAGTAAGGAGTGCCATTGTAGTCACTGCCCGATGAGAACTCAGTGGGAGGGGACAGTGAATTATTGGGCTGTTCAGGCAACCAATCAGAAATGAGGGACAGTCACAGGAGGACCTTTGAGTGTCAAGGCTGAGCAGGAAAACCTTTCCTTTCAGGCTTCGTATTTCTAATAGATCTCAAGTGGCAAGTATATCAACAGTTCCTCCAAATGAGGATAAATATGACTATATGTGAAAGTTCTGTGATGGAACCCAGAAGGATATTTATCATATACCTTGAAATCCCAAAACAAGCTGTTAATAACCTGACCTTTTTTTATTTTTTCCTTGTTTGCTTTTGGTAATACCAGGTACCAGATACAGGAAGAGACTCAGATCAAGATTAATAATCACGGTGTGCGATCATTAATTGTGTGGGATTGACAAGCCAATCCCAATCCTGCGTTAATTGTAACAACAACATCTCATCTGGGAGGGGTAGACTGAGTAAGATTGTCACTAGGATTCACTATATTATGTATGAAATACTTAGCATATTGTTGAATGCGTTTTGAAAATCCATTAAGTGCTATTCATACCGAGAAGGGAGAGGAAAGAAGCTTTAGTTGAGAGCATCCCTCGTATACTCAATTAGTACCAAGTAACACTGGCATCACTGACAGAAAGGAAAAGTTTGTGTTGACTGGTAAGTCATATCTTGAGTTTGTATTGCTACGGACACCCTTTAAGTACCGGGCTTGGGCAGAAAGAAAAGAACATGCCCAAAATAGAAAAAATAAATGAGAAAAAAGAAGGAAATGATTTTTGAGGTTAGCTTGTGGACAGAAAACTATGCTGTGTGAAGAAGGAATTCTAGAAAATGAGAAAAACTCCCCTGGACTTGAGCATAGACAATGCCTCTGAGCCATACTGCCAAACGGCCTGCTAAAGGACTGACCATATGTCACCATTATAACTGAGACAGAAGTCTCTGTTCTTCATTGGAAACATCCCCAAGTAAAAAGAAAAACTACGGAGGCTAAACTCTAGAAGACCTCATTAATATCGCCATGTGAGAACCCTAGGTAGTGATTTTCCAACTGGTGGATGCTCAAGACTAACATGTTTCTAAATGTAAAATCACCTTTGTCATGCATTTCTAAGAGCTGGTATGATGACTGCTCCATTTCCAAAATGAAAGGTCACAGTCAAAAAGGATGTCCTTGGTACCATAAATAGAGGGATCTGCTAGGTACCTCTGATGTACCTGGCCCAGTTTCCAAGTAGCTGGACCTTTTTAGCAGGATGCTTAGGAAATGCCTTTGCTATCCCAGGCTGAGACAGCCTCTAGGCATCCTCACCTACAGCACATAGTTTCTTGTGGTGTGAAGGGCTGCCTTAGCTGGGCTGCCTCATTTCTTTTGTATCCGACAACAGTACACAGGAAGCTGCAGGTGTCAGACACTCAATGCTATTCTGGGAAACAGAAAATAGAAGTTCAGTTTTCTCATGTGATTCCTAGGCCAATGACAGAGACAGAATATTCACAAATGAACATACCTCGAGATTTGTGCACAAGCATCCTGGAATTTGGACAGAGAGACAGTCTAACACCCTCAGAGCCTCATTTCATTCTGAAGGGGCTACATTCATGCCAGGAGCTGTACAGGGCTCAAGGAGGAAGCTTTTAACTTGCCATATTCAGCAAGGCAAGCTTCTCCTTCATACTGACAAATTCCACAGTACATAGCTTCGGCTTTACCAGGTCTTTCCAAAAGACCTGGACCCCTATACCTGAAGAACTACTGCTTGAAGCATCGTCTCTCTTCGTCTGGCTTTATAAAACCACAGTAAGCGGTGCTTAAACAAAATTGAATTCTATTAAAAGCCTATACATTTTCGTTATGCTAAATTATATAGTGACTTGTGATTATGCTTTGCCTTTGAGATTACTAAATATTCAAACTTCCTAGACATGGGGCCTCTTGCCACCTCGGAGAAAAGAACTTTCCATGATTCGCTCAACTTCCATCCCTCTGGGTAACATACATATTGTCAGAAGTTGAAAAGTGAATTAAAATTTTGAACAAAAAGCTAATTCAGCTCTTTGGGTCTGTTCTTGAGAAATACCCAGGAGCAGTTTATTTTAAATAACAATATTACTCTCAGATGCAAACACAGAAAAATAAGCAGATTCAGGGGGACTCTGAAAACTTCTTTAGTTTCTCTAATACTATTTGTCCTTGACTGGAAAATGGAGCTAACCTATTTACATGAAGCACAAATCAAAGGATGTGGCATTGATGGAAAAGCCTAATTTAATACTAGAAGCACAGCAGATACTAAAAAACAAACAAAACAGGGAGTTCTTATCCCTTCAATTGGGATGAAGACTTTCCAGCTTTAGTGAAGCCTCCAATAAAGGGAGAGTCCAGCAATCTCTGCCTCCTTTACGGCACAGGAGACAATCTGGAAAAGTTATAGACATTCAAGCACCATGGCAACCTGAGCTGACGTCATTGAGAGTTGTGTCTAATTCATATGAGATAATCCAGCCTAGATTATGATGGTGGTGCTGATGCTGGTGTGCTGATGCTGTGTGCTGATGCTGGTGTGCTGATGCTGGTGTGCTGAGGGTGGTGGTACTGAGGATGGTCATGATGATAACGACGGTGATGAAAACTGGGGAGATGATGATGGTGGTGATCATGAGGATAAAAATAGTAAGAACAGCATTTTGGAGCCCTCATTATCAGCTTTGAAAATATTTTAGGGCCATGTGAAGTAACTTATTAAATCTTCCAATATTACAATAAGCAACTGTCACTCTCAATACACCATCCCAGGATTATTAATGTCTTCATTAAGTTGCCAGCTGATTGAAAGATTTCCCTATGTCCCACAGCTGAGACATTAGGCTAATGACAGAGCTTGGGTCTGAAACCAAGGAATTTTGATAAGAATTTATAATCCTAAATACTACACATTCAAAACAGCAGGAAAATGAGAACCTAAATTCCAGTTCAGACACTAGCACATGTTGACCACTTAGAAAATGTTGCAATCTGAGAAAGTCCTACTTGCTTCTTCTTTTCAGAGATAATTCTAAACATTTTGAAACAAGGACAACTTTGTAGCCTTAATATACAAAGTGGAGCTTTTCTGTACCTGCTCTGAGGCAGAGGCTCTCAGCCCACAGACCCAGTGACTAACCTCCCTCTCCTCTTCATCTTCCTCCAGAGTTTCTAAAGAGTGATGGAACTATAGACTGAGTTATTTTAAGAGTCAGTGATCTAGGTTCCTAGTGTTTGGACTTTAGTCTGATGGACTGATAGGCTGACTTAGGGAGCCCAGCCCATTTGATTATTTATGTCTGCATGGGATACTATTAAGAATTACTGAGCTAATAATTTCTGCATTTACTTCTCCCTCCTATCTCTTTCCAAGACAAAAGAAGTCAAAGCCTTCCTTTACTTTCCTCCTCATATAATGAAATCCCTGTACAAATGAAACCACTGATATACTTTGGGGTCTTTTAGGTAGGTGCATTGAGGCTGTAACCCAACTGCCTAACCCAATATCCCCAAGTCAATAGGTCATCACCCCAATTTTATAATAAGCTAGAGTTACCTATTCATATGAGGGAATGTTAGAGTATTAATGAAAATCCAAGAGGAAAAGTTCCTTCTGGTCAAGAGAATAGACTCTCTGGCCTCGGTGAGACCTAATATTCTTGTTAAGCATGATGATCTCCTAGATCAGGAACCACACCTAGGAAAGCAGGCTCACCTTAAGCCACGCTAAAGGGATGGGAAGAATCATTTTGTGTCCCCATAAGAACTCCTAGGACACCTTTATAGCTTGTGCTTATCAGTGAGGAAGAGCCCAGGATGACATGAAGACTTCTGTGTCATCACTAGGTTTGTTGTTTGGTCATTTGCTGTACTGAATTCTGTTTTATGATCAGTTTTGCTCAACAATAAGATCCATGTTAACAAATTGATTAAAACTATATAAAGCAATAGATGAGGTATCAAGAAAGGCTGAGAACTCTGATCAAGGTCAACTAATTTCTAAATGAGGCAGAAAGCACATTCAGTGTTTCCTAATGTATTCTGTAGACACAGTAGGTCAAAGCAGGATATGCTTACAAGTTTTATGCTTTGCATGGCTTCTACAATATTCTGATGCTATTTGGTCATCCAAGAACCCACTGAGGTGAACAGGAAACAGAATATTCTGTTCCAGAGGATACTGCAACACAGAGATGTTAAGATTCTTTTCCCCTGTTCTTACTGGCAGGGGCTTGTTCTATTGTGTTTCTATTAGAGTGCTTGTGTCTGTTTCTAACCTAGAAGATTCTATATATTAGAATAAAATAGACTTTTGTCTAAGTTGACTTTATTTTCCCTTTAAAAATATAGCCCTATAAATATGTTAAATTTCTGGGAAGCTAAGTATTACAATTATTATGAAGGCGTTTTCAGATTTTTTTTTTATGTGTGTGTTACTTATGTGCACCATACGTGTGGAATGTCCTTAGAAGTCAGAAGAGAGAATTTGATCCCAAAGAATTGGAGCTGTAGTATGGGTGCTAGGAATCTAACTCTGGTCCTCTGGAAGAGCACCAGTGCTCATAACCACTCAACCATCTCTGGAACCTCAAACGTTATAATTGCTGTAACAACTGGCTTGATACAAATTCAGTGAGATACATGCAGCCATACAAGTTACAAAGAACACTGTGTGGTTTGTCTGTCTTCATTTGTTTCAAATCTTGTTGGTGTGACTGTATCTCCTTCAAGTGCATGAGTGTAAACAACCATATCACATACTAAAGATAGCATTTTATAACACTCTTTATTATTCTTAAGTTCTTGCCTATATTCTACCTCCTCTTACAGTGGGGCTTGGGAGTTCCCAAAGCTCCACTTCTTATAGAGGAGTTACTGAAAACTGATAGATGTTTGGGGAAGGGAATCATTATTTTGGGGGCTGTGGTCACTGATGGAAAGCCCATGGCCCAGTGGATCATGACACACTCACATGTATATACGAGCAGCATCAAATTAACTTAGTGGGTTTAAAAAAATTTAAGAAAATAAGGCATTAAATTGGGAGGAGTATTTGTTAAGCAGGATCTTGAAGGAGCTCAAGAGGGAACAGGCAGGATAGATATGATACATTGTATACTTACATGAACTGCTCAACAGATAAATTAAGAAACTATCCAACTTGAACTCTTGGGGAGGGGGTCCATTGTTAGAATGGTCCCTCTTGTTTGTACAGATAATATAAGACTTACCACTGTAGCTCCAAGGTCAAGAACAAAATCTAGCACATAGTAGATTATATTTAAGTTTCTATCCAAGAGATGGACAACATTTTTGAAAATAATTGCTGTTAATTTTTCTGGGGAGCTTATCTATCAAAAGGGCTCATTTGTTAAAGCAAGTGGTTCCTGTGGTTTACCATGTGGACACAAAATGCCCAAATGAGCTATGGGGGCCCGTATTCGAATTACACCAAAAATGCTAAGGAAATCACTGACAGGAGCAGCAAAATACATCACACCTACTCATACCCCTAGAAAATTAATTCCTGGGGGTTGATGTCAATAACAGTATCCGTTGAGACTGGAAGTCTCTTCCTCTACTCTGGGAAACAGGAAAATAGATGATAGACTTTGAGGCTTTTTCTCTTCCCAAGCCATTAAAATGCAAATCATGGTTGGAGAGAGATCTAGGCAGATCTCTGGGCATAGTGTGATCTCACCAGCACTCACATCCATCTGCCGTCCTCACTTCCATGTGCACCAGGTCTGCCTCCTTATCCAATCCAGACACCGACCTGGGGGAGAAAGGGAGAGACAGGCTGAGTGAGGCCAAGCACAGGGGACAGCAGAGTGATACACATCTGGGCTGTATACATCTGGGCTGTTCTTCAGAACTCTAAGCTCTGAAACAGGTCCATCCTGCATGCTGTGCCTGACATAGTACAGCCATTGGCAACCCCAGACGTATGATTGGTTTTAGAGAGTACCGACTGCATTGGTCGTGATACAGGACTCCTACAGTGGTGTCATCAAGCCTCTTGAAAAACGGACTGAATCTCTGTCCTTGAGCCATCTCTGCCACTTTGTACCTTCTAAGAGATTTTTGTGAGTCACCCTTCCTCATCATCTGTCTTCTCAGTCATGTCATCTCCCCTTTTGTCCTAGGAACTGAAGTAGAGCTCTGTGCATGCTCACTGGCAGGCAGGCATCCCATCACTGAGCTGTATCTTCAACCTATGACCCCTGAATAGCCATATTACTGCTCTATCCATGTCTTATACATAGGACACTACCTGTTCTTCCTTCCCCATTCTGTTGGCTTCAAGGTCTGTCCATATTATCTGAGCATGGCTCTTCTTCTTTCTTCCTCTGTTTACAAACAACTGTTTGACGGCAAAGACTCAAAATATGGTGTCTGGGACAAAATTCTCCTGGCTACTAAGTTGAGAGAAACCAGAGACTTCCTTGCCAGTAGCTTAAAGAGGATAAGCTGCACAAAAGACACTCTTTACACATCCTTCTCAAGGCCACCTGAGCAACTGTCTCCTCCTCTGCCATAGACATCCAGGCCAATATGAGACCCAGAAATCCAGCTGCAAGCACCATGAAACACACTGAAACATCCGTGCACAGAAGAACACAGAATCAAGGTCTCTAGTACACCCTGATTCACAGAATTTGTAGACCATCACCATCATAGATGGCACTTCTAAAAACAGAGCCACTGCTGATGTTACCAGTGGCTATATTCTCTCATAGCTAAGTGATCCCCAGTTTAAACTATCTCAATCCCAGTTGTCTAATTTTCCAGGTTTCAGCACGTAAGAGAAGCAAGTTAGGAAGAGCATTTATTAAGTGACCTAGACAGTAAGAGAAGTAGAAAACATGGCAAACAGACCTAAAACTCAAAACTCAATCTTCACATCACAAGTCCCTGTGTTTCCCAGTAGTACTGAGCTGTAACTATGTTAGAGAAAAATTGGATGCCTGACAGCTACACGAAGGGCTGGAGAAAGTGAAAAATGAAGTGGGGGCTTTTATGCCTATTGTTCTTAGTTTATGACACTAGGGTGGCAAATGACATAAATTAGAGAAAATTAAATTATTTTTGTTGATTAAAATAAAACAATCATGTCTTAGAAGACCAAAATTCCATTAGCTAAAACATTTACTTCTGTAAATTACTTCTTTTCCCCAAAAAGTTAAACAACCAAGGCATTACTTCAAGGGATGTTTTCCCCCAAAATTTTTTGATACATTACATTTTGTTTCATTTATCTCATTTGATTCTAACAGCAAATCTTGAACCTAAGGATACAAGCCATCATTATTCATTACTTGACAGGAAGAGAAACTGAGGCATGGAGAACTTAGTCATCTCAGATCACATAAGACCCAATCAGAAGTTGAAAGACGGCCTGACTTTTCCTTCTGGGGCAATTCCAATGGTCTGTTTACCTCTATCTATTTCAATGTTGCTCCTCCTTGTGACAAGTCCACCCACCCTTATCCCCCCATCAGTTCCTCCTCTGTTTACAAAACAGGCCTTTCTGTGTTCTAGCCAGAATCCTGGCCTCTGTAGTCCACAAGCTCAAGAACATCACCAGTAGATGTCAGAATTAACAGACATCTGGCTAGGTCTGTGAAGCCAAAAATCAATGAGGGTGGGACAACATCCATGATTTTAAAGCACTCAAAGGACGTGTACAAGTAACCAGGCTGTAAAACCCCACATTCCTAAATAAAGTTCTTTGGGACAATCTTAGCTGTGACCTTCAGATCCAAATCCAGCACAAAATGCCAGTGGCTGCTTTTGCCTTAATGTCAAGATTAGCTCCAGGCTTCTCAATTTACCTCAGTCAACACCTATACTACATAGTTCTCTGTTGTGGGCTCTGAGCTGTGCATCGAAGACTTGTTGGACACTTCTACCATCTACATATAGCAGCAGCTTTGCAAGTGTGACAATGAAAAAGTGATTCTAGATTTTGTGAACCATCTCCTAGTGAGAGACAAAATTACTCCCAGACGAAAGGCAGTGCTGTCACTAGACACACCCAGCTGTTCCCTGGACTTTGAACCATGCCTGCTCACAAGTACTTGGATCTGCCTTTTCTCACCTAGTGCAAATAATAACGTTGCTGTGAAGCTTGTGAACTATGGCGATTCTGGAACATGCCATGTCCCAGGGAAATTAACAGACACTAAACAGATACAATCAGGTCCCTAGCCTTGAAGTCCCAAGCCCCATTTCTGGAAACACTATGTAAACAATATGCTAATAAAACAAGCCAAACAAAAAACAAACAAACAAAAAACAAGTGAAGTGAACATGCCTGATAATGTCTGTTAGGGGTGGGGCAGGCGGGAGGAAGGGATGCTTTGGTGGAAATTTATGGGCAGAGGCACAAGATAACACTGACAAATGCTAATGAGTACAGAGAACATCTAGTATCAGGCATTGTGTTTGGTATTCATAAGCATTATCTTAATTAATCGTTGAAATGAGTTTTTAAAGAAAGTACCATTCATCTAATTTTCCTCCTTGGTAAAGAGGATAATAAGAGAGATTAACTGATGTGCCTGGAGCCACAGGATGATAACAATTCACAGATCCTGAAAGCACGCGTGTGGTGGGCACTGCCTTACACAGAAACTCTGCTCTCATTTAATACTTGTGCCTACGCCATTTGTTGGGAATCAATTCTTTCCTCTATTTAAAGAAGGCCCAATCTTGCGTTGCGAACTTAAGCCACTTGCCTCCAATTATGTAGTTATGAAGCAGCAAGGGTGGGACTTAGGCCAGGCAGGCGGATTTGAGCCAGGACTTAGCTTCTCCCATGAACTGCGTCTACCTAAGGGAGACTAGGATTTAAGCCTAGCCACTTCTTTTAGAGTCGAGGTTCTAGCCAACACGTCCCTGCTCACATATATAAATTTTACATAAAGTAGCATGTAGGAATATCCTGTATATGTCTAGAAACCTTTTGTTTCTAGGTCACTCAGATGGGGAATAACTCATATTGATAATATTCCATAAGAAAGGGATGATGGACATAAATAAAAGAGTAAGTAGGTCAATGTAAATGGTTGAGGAATAGAGAGAAGAAATTTTTAATGTGAGAGATGGAAGAGTTGATGAAAAGTACGTTTGTAAGTTGTCTTGACTCTTGCTTGATGTCTGTGATGATGGAGAGGTCTTCAATAGATACGAGAAGCTTCAAGGATGCTACGGGCAATGGGAGATGGTTGAGAGGCATACCCAGGCAAATACGCCAACCAGGTGAACAAATGACCCTAGGATTTCTTCTACCAACAGCATCCATATTCCTTGACCATCTAGGACTAATGTCAGGACCAGAGCATGACACCAGGTCAGGGTCAATTTCCAGAATAGAACAGGCCACAAGAATAGTAACACTATGCTCATGCTCAGAGGAAGATTTCGACTTGTAGTTTCAACCTGCTGATACTGCTCCATTGCCATACACCTACCAGACAAAGCGCCATGGTGGAAGAAACATAGTAGAGAAGTTCTTCTTGGCTCATAGTGCCGGGGAAACAGAGATGGAGAGAAAAGGTCTGAGGATAAAATATACCAGCCCAATGGTGAACTTCTTTCTCTAACAAGTCTCCACATCTTAATAATCTATCCAACTGTCAATTCCTTAATCACCAAATAAATACCCATCTGCTGCCAACTAAGCCTTTACTTCAAGAGCCTACAGAGATACTTTTTTAGAAATGATCCAAATCAAAACATACTCCCTGTCAGTAGTGTCTGTACCGGGGTAGAGAGATAAGCATCTCACTGAAACTACACAGAAGAAAACTCTTAGCACATCTCTAAAGAGCATCAGGTGGTAAACGAAAGCTGTGCCAGACACAGTATTGCTATCACACAGTATTGCTAAACAAGCCATCAATAGCAATCGTGTCTAACTATGCCATATTCTGGTTTTAATTAAGATACTTTAAAACAAGATTCCATGGAACAAAATAGAATTAGAATATTATAATCATATATAGTCAGTGAAAAATCCCTTTATGAAGAGTTTTCAATTCCTTAACCATGACTTATTCTGCTAAGGGGCTCAACTGAAACATAACATGCACAACTGGATACAATTAATTTTTTTTTGAGTAGGCCTCATCAGTCGTCATCTAGAAGGGTTTTCACTTTGTTGCCAACTCCCTAGAACATTATGCATGTATGTGTTATAAAATAGAAGGAGCACAGCACTAGCTTCCTAAACTCACAGAGATTACATTGGCTAAGCAATAAATACTTATATCACTGGTGGTACACGGGAAGTATTCCATGTTAGCTATTATTTTTTTATGTGAAGAATAAAAATGGACTAACTAGCCCTCTAGCCTTCTGTCTTTTTTTCCCTCTTTCCAAGTCTTACATTTGTTGACTGCCTAATGACAGTCTTCTAGACAGCAGATAGGGATATCCCTCTACCAAAGGTGTTCAGCTGAGGCAAGCTCAAACTGTTTATATTCCTTATCTGATCATAAATCTTCTGAAAATGACTTTTGATGAGAACTCTTACAATAATAAAATAATATTTTTCTCCTTTGGTTAAAAAATCATTGCAATAGGTTGAACTCACCTTTGTATCCCTATCAGACTTGTTCGTTGACCTCAGAGTTTACTGTTGAATAATCCATCCAGTGTATTCAATCACAGTATTTGTCACAAGGAAAATCATCAGTAAATATTTGTTGAATGACTGATTAAAACAATTTCAGTCAAAGACAACCTCCATAAGACCCTGCCTTAAGCATC